GGGGATGCAAAACAAAAAAAAAAACAAAATGGAACAGAGAAGTAAAAACACAAAAACCAAACTTAAGGCAACGTCATTTTAAAAAAAAAAAAAGGATGCAGGAAAACGTCAGCAGGATGGAGAGCGTCGGGCAGATCTGCCCACCACGGTGGGCCGGGGGGGCAAGGTTGAAAGGATCAGACAGACAGCCCCATGCCGTTCCGAAACGTCACCACATCGGAAGCCTCCACTGACCTCTAACTTGTTGTTCCAGATTCAGAATAACCGACACAGCCTGATGTAGGATTAGCAGTTTGGTCTGTGGTTTTTCGCTGTTAAGGTGTAGCTGGCACATGCGCCCAAGCTCTTTAAAGGCCTCGTTGATGTCGCGGACCCTCAGGCGCTCCCGAGCGTTATTGGCCACCCGCCTCTCTTTCTCTCGCTCGGCTTTTTGCTCTGGGGGAAGAAGGTCGTCCTCCTCATCCTCATCTTGACTGATAATTTGAAATAAGAATGAAACAAGGAGAAGGGGGGACATTTTTCGTGTGTGCACACCTCGGCACCGGAATATGTTCACAAAAAAAAATAAAAAATAAAAAATATGAAAACTGTAATACATATAATACACACATGTGCGCACCCCTACATGCACACACGACAGAAAACAAACATATCACAATGGTGTTTTTTGTTTTGTTTTTAAACGATATTTGAAAAGGAAAAGTAGACATTAATCTATTTTGTCAACTCTGGTCAATATTGACTGCATGCATGCCTGACAGGGCCCCCTCCCCCAATCTTCTGAATGGAGCCGTAGTCGCTAAATAAAATTTGGGTCGACCGTCCTAGAGCACATTTTACTTTTGTGTGAGGTAAAAGAGAGGCTCAAGGAAGTAAGCCATGCCTTTCTCCTCTACTCAGGACCTTTGCAGGGAAATGGCGGGAGGGGAGGGGGCTGGGAAACGACAAAGAATCAGGGGAGATAAATAGGACCAAAAGCTACAATGTCAAATAGGACGTTCTGCTTCTCCGCAATTTCTCAGGGAAAAATAGCAAAATTTGAAAAAAATGCATGCACCGGATAAAATTAATAAATAATTTAATAAATTAATTTGGGGGGGAAAAAAACACCAATATATTTTATCTTCTTTCAATTAGCCAGCCAAAGGAATTGCCTGACTGGAAAATCCCTCCTCTGTGGGGGGAGATGGAGGGCTTCTAAATTTGCTAAATAAAATGAATAAAAACTAGATGCTCTTCCTGATCCATTTCTCCAATCAGACAACCTGCCCCACTCTTGTGAAGGAGTTGGGCCCATTAATATTTGTAGTAGGTTCCTAGAGGTTTGAAAACTGTGGGGGGGGGGATTCTCCCCAAGACTGGAAGATTTTGGAGGAGGCTGTGTTTGCCTTAGGCTTTCTTTACGGGGGTCAGGATTTTGCCCTGCCCTGTTAGCCTCCAAAGGGAACAGAGGAAGGTTGAGACCTGTTCAGTGAGCACCTTGTTCTGGTTCGAGATGGCTTCAGTTCCTTTTTCTCCTCTTCTGAATTGTCAGCCACTGATGTGTTTTCGTCATCCTCCTTGTCCTCCCGCTTGATCTCACTGGTGCCAGATGAGACGCTGGCCCTTCCCAGGCCCCCAGTCAAGCCTGCAATGGGACCAAACCAAACAGAAGGTTGACCCAAGGATAAAGTGAGAAACGTAGGACAAATCACCCTCACCTACAACTTGACATAAGTTGAAATCTTCAGCATAATTGTACTTAAGGCATCAGACTATAAACCAGAAAGCTGGGGGTTCTAGTCCCGCCTTAGGTATGAAAGACGACTGGGTGACTTTGGGCCAATCACCAGGAGACTGTGAGTTCTAGTCCCACCTTAGGCATGAAAGTCATCTGGGTGACTTTGGGCCAATCACCAGGAGACTGTGAGTTCTAGTCCCACCTTAAGCATGAAAGCCAGCTGGGCCAATCACCAGGAGGCTGTGAGTTCTAGTCCCGCCTTAGGCATGAAAGCCGGCAGGACCAATCACCAGGAGATTGTGAGTTCTAGTCCCGCCTTAGGCATGAAAGCCAGCTGGGCCAATCACCAGGAGACTGTGAGTTCTAGTCCCGCCTTAGACATGAAAGCCAGCTGGGCCAATCACCAGGAGACTGTGAGTTCTAGTCCCGCCTTAGACATGAAAGCCAGCTGGGCCAATCACCAGGAGACTGAGAGTTCTAGTCCCTCCTTTAAGCATGGAAGCCACTGGGTGACTTTGGAGTCTCTCTCAGCCCAACTCACCTTATGTGGTTGTTGTTGTGGGGAAAATAGGAGGAAGAAATGTGTATGTTTACTGCCTAGTGTTATTTATAAAAATAATATATTTTTAAAAAAATCTAAAAATAAAACATCTAAAATAATAATTAATGAAATAATTTTTGATTCTGAGTTCATAGGAAGAGAGAGACCCCAAAGGGAGGGTGGGGGTGTGGGGTTGGTTGAAAGCTCTTTCGTTGAAGACATTTTGCTTCTCATTCAAGAAACTTCTTCAGTTCTCACAGTCAGAACAAAGAGGGAGGATTTGTTTCATGGAGAATTTTGCAAGAGGCCAACATCTCAGTGATCCGGCACCCTATCTTGCACCAGCCAGGGGGGGCGGGGGAGGGTTGATGTTCAGCGTTCAAATTGTGCAACTCAGCCTTACCGCTAAAGGCATCTGAAGACTGTCCTCTGCTGAGGTCAGGAAGCGAGCTGGTCTGGGCAGGGAGAGCAACATGGTTGTGGAGAAGACCAGGATTGTTGGAGAGGCCGTCTTCAGGGTGACCTCCCCCCACCTGCCAAAAAGAACAGCGATAAGGTCCAGAGAGGCCAATATGTCAGTCATGCTAAACTGGGGAATTCTGGGTGTTGAAGAGCCCACACATTTTAAAGCCCCCAAGGTCGAGAAACACGGCCTTAGGCAGTGCTAGTGAGCAAGGGTAGAAATTTGAAAGGGGGCCTATCAGTCGCTCTTTGAAACCCTCAGTTTTCATGAGTTAACCACAGCCAATGCCTCAGGAGCAAATGGCCATCAGGTTTAATAATAAGATGCCAGGATTGTTTTTAAGTACTGGTTGTTAATCAAACAATACAGGTTTAAACATAATGCTAAGCAGGAGGGGGAAATGTTTCCACATAATTTTACCACCACTTCGCCGCACACTGAAACTGTGAGCGTGCTCAATTCGTGAGCGCCTTCTGTGCATGCGCTTTGCTCGCGCACGCAGCTTGCATACATGCGCACGGCTTAGAAAATGACGGCAGGGAGCCAGGGTGGGTGGTCGCCACTACCGGTTCGCCCAAACCGGTCTGAACTGGCTGAATTCCACCACTGGTGTTAAGCCATTAGTCCAGTATACCTATAGGTAGGGAGTCTCTGCGGATTTTACTCTGCTATTCATTGCCAAATATGGAGGCCAGCGTTCATCTCCTTTTCAAGTCCAAAGATATTTTTGCAGTCACCTGGTCAGCATGACAACTTAGGGCACTGTTACCTTCCCACCAAAGGGGTACCTATTTATCTACTCACATTTGCATGCTTTCAAACTGCTTTCAAACTGTCTAAGTATGGTAGGACTTTTGAATATGAAGAATGCTACACAGCCTTCAAGAAGCATTTTTAACATGGACAGCCCATAGTTCAGTGGAGGACACAAGAGACTAGCCCCAATCTCCAGCATCTACAAGGAAAAGGTGGTTAAAAAGCCCCTTTTGTTTGCTAGTTATACTAAGCTAGATTAGCCATGGAGAACTCCTGCTCTCTTGACGCTTTGGACCAAGCAAGTCCCACCAACCTCCAGCTGTATGTCTAAAGCAGGGGTTCAGCAACACGCGGCTCTGGAGCTGCATGTGGTTCTTTCATCCCTCTGCTGCGGGGCTGAACTGTCACCGGTTGGCTCCGCAATGGATAGGCCTTTCGATTAGGACAGGTAGAGGGAAAAGGATGCTGCGCTAGGAGAAGGCTATGTGGGGGAACCAGACTACTGGTCAGCTCAAGAATTGAACGGGGGCTTCCGGTTAGGACCTTTGTGGGTCTTTGAGTGTTTAAGGTTGCCGACCCCTGGTCTAAAGTCAATGGATTCTAGGAACCGTGGACCAAAGTTCCTGGATCAGGTGGATTAATAGTCAAGTTATGCAAACAGACCTTTAAGGAGCTTCTTGAAAGGAGAAGCCATAAAGTTTTGAACAGTAAAGCAGGTCTGAAACAAACACACACACACACACACACACACACACACACACACTTAATTCCTAGCTTACCAAGTTCG